TAAGGAGAGTAATGGCGCCTTCCGCAGAAGTTAGATGATGTACAGAAAGTTCTCAGCACAGCACTTGGGTTAGCAGCCACAAGATTTACCACTTTGCCTCCTGGGCTCCTGCGGGCAAAGGAAGGACAGCAGGTGGAAATCTGTATTTACAGAAAAAATACAAAGCACCAAAAATGGTAAAAATGATGATGAGCAGAAAATATATTTTTGTTGCCTATGATTAGGAGTCCTGGTGTGGTGCTGTGGGTTAATGAGCCAGACTGTAAAGCCATTTGAATTGCAAGGTTAGTGGTTCAAGTTCACCAGTTGCTCCCAGGAAACCCTATACAGGGTCGTTATGGGTCAGAACCAACTCGATGGCACTTAACAACAACAACAATATAATTACTCTAAAAGCTAGTTCACTATTCAAAGCAAATTCAGCAACAATGTACTGTGGGGTTTGGGGCTGGGGGGTGGTGTCAGGAAGTATTGCTACCAAATCATTGAAACATTTATGAAACAAAAATATCAAAATTTGAAGCTATTGTTTCTCAATATCTCCTCCAAGTCTAAGAGGATACACCCTTCTGAAGGAATTGTTTCCATCTAACAACAACCCTTCCCCCAAAGAATTCTGCACTTTTCTGTTTACACTGGACTCCTGGCACTGTGGGTTAACCCACTGGTCTGCAAAGTCAGTTTAAACCACAAGGTCAACTGTTCAAGCTCACCAGCCGCTCCTTAGAAACCCTATACAGGGTCGCTGTATACAGGGTCAGAACCAACTCGACAGCACTTAACAACAACAACTATTTATGCTATGTCAAAACAGCAGTTCGGGCATCCTCAAGGGACTTAAATTGTTTTCCTTTTAAATGTTCTTTTGAGTTTGGAGAACAATAAATCTAAAGAAGCAGGATCAAGGTTGTAAGGTAGACGGGACAAAGTTTCGCAATGACATCCTTGTAGGACAGCCCTGGCTACTCTTGAAGAACTAGCAGGTGCGTTGTCAAGATGGAAAATAATTCCTTAACTCAATTTGCCTGGCCTTTTTCTCAGCAATGCAGTTTTTGATTTTCTGAAAAGTGCTTAATAATAAGCCCCCATGATTGTCCTGTGTCCTTTGAGAAAATCTATCCAGATGACCCCTTTGGAAACCTTCAAAGCAGTCACTATAACCTTCTGAAGTGACCTCTCTCTGCCTTGAACTGGCCCCGCAGAGCCCCATGGGCTGGACCTTGGACTGAGTGAATGGCACACCAATGAGACTGCAATAAGTGTCTGACTGAGAGTCTGCTGCCTCCATTGCTGACAGTCACTCGTCCAAACACATTTTGTATTTTTTTTTTAAGTTTTTATTGTAAATTGAGTGATAGTTTCCATGGGAGAACATCAGGTTTACACTCATCATTTCATTGCAATGATTATAATCTCCTCCATGTATCATCATTCCACAGTTATTTGCTTCTATTCCCTCTGTTTGTTTGCTTTCTTAGGGGGTGGGGGTGGGGGGGAGTATACACAAAATCACTCAGGAATATTTAATCATTTAAACAACCAAAGAGCACATTCTGCAAGCCTGCCTCCTGGCTGCCAGCACACAGCCTTTCTCTTTCCATGAGTCCAGAGTCTTCAGCTCCTCCCTCTCTCCATCTCCTTATCTCTGTCTCCATCTCTGGTGTCACTGTTTCTCTGGATACGGTCTCACATTCCACTTGTACTCGTCTCCCTTAATGGTCCTAGGGTCTTCTGTTCCTGGACTATAAGATTAACTACTGCCCTGTTTTTGTTACGGAACTTCTACCTTTAAAGTTGTGATAGTCGCAATTAGTCATGATAACAATTACTCACTAGTGAATCCTAAGACTCTTATCCCCATCTCTTTTCACCAGACCCATCTAGACAAGATGAACACTATTCAGTGGGGACTCTACCTTCCAAACACATTCTGTTTGGAATAAACCAGGGTTTCTATGAACTACAGAGTCCTAGCCGCAGCCTACTGCTTAGCATACAGAACCTCACAAACGCTAGAGCCAATAAAAATTCAATTAAAAAGAACAAATATTTAACTGTAAGCCAACATAGGAAAGATGGAATAGGGTGAAAAATGACATACTTTTCTTTCTTTCTTTTTTTTTTTACAAACTGTATATTATGTTTATATGAGTACAAACCCAGGCAAGATCTGTTTATGCTTTAGGGATCAGGATCAATATTATGTTTATATGAATACAAACCCAGGCAAGATCTGTCTACGCTTTAGGGATCAGGATCATAGTTGTCCATGGAGGTGGAAGGGGGATGCTATTGAAAAGAAGCCAAAGGGGGGATGCTTGTAATGCTTTCTTTCTTTTTTTTTTTTTAATGTTTTATTGTGGATTATGTGATAGTTTACATGGGAGAGCATTAGTTTTACATTCATCCTATCCTATATCATTTCATTGCCATGGTTACAATCCCCTCCATGCATCATCAACCAACCAAAGGATATACCCTGCAAGCCTGCCCCCTTGTCATCAGCACACAGCCCCTGTGCCTCTCTAGGTCTAAAGTCCCCAGCTGCTCCATCTCTCCACGTCGTCGTCTTTGTCTCCATCTCAGGCATCACTGTTTCTCTGGGTAGGATCCCGCTCTCTGCTCTTCTCCCTTGATGGTCGCAGGGACCTCCACTCCTAGACTGCAAAGTTAATCAACTTCCCTCCTTGCTACAAAACGTCTACCTTTACATTTCCAACCCTCACAATCAGCTCTGATAACAATTATTCACTATTGTATCACAAGAAACCTATCCCCATCTCCTTTCATCAGCCCCGCCTAGACAGACTGGATACTACTCAGTGGAGATTCTACCTTCCTCCACGCCCTCTGGATCCAGGTTCCCTCTTGAAAGCTTGTAAGTCAGTCACTTTTTGTCTTTGTAGCCCCCCCCCCCCCATTTTGGGTAGCCAATGTCCAAGTTGCCCATCCCTGTCTACTCTGTGTATGGAGGGGGTGGGAATGATCCTTGTGGTAAATACTTCTCATTTTTTAAAAAACACTTGCTTCTTTTTAAAGGCAAAGGGTGGGAGGGAGAAACAAGAACAACTGAGACAAAAACAAATCTTAAGACGGTTTACTCATCAGCTCCCACAAAGAGGAGCAGCCTCGGAAACCCTACACAGGGTTGCTGTGAGTCTCAGTGGACTCAACAGCACTCAACAATAACAACACATAAATCAAACAAAGTAAAAATAAATGGAAGGGTCAGAAGACTAAATATTGTACAGATGTCAATTCTTTCCAAACTGATTTATTCAGCCAATGCAATGCCAATGATGATCCCAGCAGTTTTCTTCTAGAAAATGATGAACTAATGCTAAAACATATTGGAAATGGAAAGGGCCAAGAATAGCCAAGCCAGTTTTAAGTGAAAAAGAACAAAATATGTCACCCAACGGTAAGATTTTTTTTATTATAATTTGATTATAAACAATGTGTTTAAAGTAATTAAAACAATGTATTGTGGTGCTGGTGCAATGACAAACACACCAGAGAAACAGACTAACAAGCGGAGAAACAGACCACATAAATATGGGGACACTTGATTTGAGACAAAGGTGGCCCTGACTGCAGAACAACAGATACAACAGTGTTTTCAATACAGGGTGCTGGGTTAACTGGACACCATCTGGAGAGAAATGAAACCCGTCCCCTACCTCACACCACACACCAACAGCAAATGTAATGTAGGAGAATGCCTTGGTGGCCTTGAAGGAGGCAAACATTTCATACGCATGACACATAAAGCACTGAGCACAAGAAAGAAAAAAAAGTGACAGTGAATTCCATTTAAGAATTGTTCATTAAACTGATATACGATAGGATGAATGTAAAACTAATGTTCTCCCATGTAAACTATCACGTAATTCACAATAAAACATTAAAAAAAAGAATTGTTCATTAAAAGGCACAATTCAGAGTACCTCCATTTTCCTGTCTGAAAAATGGGGATAATAATTTGACTCATGCATTAACATGGCTGTGAGATTTTCACAGCACAATGGACACAAAGGGCACGCTTGGCATAGATTACGAGTTGGAATCGACTTAACGGCACACCACTACCAGCTAGTGACTGGCAGGTTACAGAGAGACCCCATGAAAAGTCGTTCCTGGAACAGTGGCAGTTAATGGGAAATATGAGGGAAGATGTGGTTGTAGAAGTTCCGGGGCTGTGGAGAAGGAAGAAGTGGAAGGAAGGAGTGTGTGAGCCAGCAGAGAAGGAAGAGACAGCAGACAGAGGCACACCTCATGGAGGTGGGGATGGAGAGCCAGCCCCAGAGGCAAACTAACAAGAGAGAAACGTGTCCCGTAACGACAGAAAGGAGCGATGTCCTCAGACCCAGGTATATCTGGAGAAACTGGAACATCTGCCTTAATTTCTGCTCTCTTCATGAACTACAAGTGCTGGAAGGAAAAGCCATATTTGGGCCTGCCAGCCCCACAAGGAGTGGCCCCACAAGAGAGCAGGACAAGTTTCCACCAGGTCCCTGCAGCAGTGTGGGCAGCAAGCACGAGCACCAGACTTGGGGCGCCATCACCAATGGTGCCCGTCACGGTCCTGAGGACGCTGCGTGTGAAAACTGCTGCTGCTGTTCAGTGCCATCGAGTCAGTTCTGACTCATAGTGAGCCTGAATTGTGTTTCCGAGGCTTTAAAGCCTCGTCTTTCTCTCACAGAGCGGCTGGTGAACTCAAACCTCCAACCCTGTGGTTCGCAGCCCAGTGTTTATCGCATGGAGCCACGGCGCTATCGCGTCTGAAAAGGAGCCTAATTATTTAGACACCATTCTCATCACCGTTTCCTTCCTGACTCTCCAGGTGGTCAGTAAAACAGTAACAAAAGTCACAGAAAAAGCTAAGGAAATGGTGCCCTTCAAACAAAACCCCAGCATCCCACTTCACGGCCAAGTCCCCTCATGAAACCATTATGCAAGTCAGTGCAGGACCAGTCAACAGAGCGCTGTGAGGAGCTTACCGGTTGAAGATATTGTCACTGAAAGCATACTTTTCCAGGCGCATGAGTGGAGGTAGGTTATCCTGGCCTGGGATGTCCAAGAACGCTGTCACTCGCATGCTGCCGCAGTCTGGACCATAGTCTTCAAACCCATCTGAGAGGAAGGAGGAAAGAAGAGAAACAGAAATCAAATACACATGCAGTGTGAGCCACGGGGAAGAGTCAGCCTTGGGGGGATGTGGCCTGGTTACCGGCTGTGCCCCTTCTTACAACCCTTCCCAAGAGAAGCTTTCTGAGATCTACAAACATGAGTTCATCAAAAATGCCGTGCACACATATCCAATCCCTGAGACCGGCAGGAAGGACCACGGTCTTAGAGAACAGCTGGGCATCCTTCTGCCAACCACTCCTGTCTCTTGGGGCTCAATATCATATGAACGAGTGTCTGGTCTCTGAGATGTGATGGTCAGCGAGTTCTATTTGAACTGAGTTAAGATAGCTAACGAGGGGGAATAACAACAATGGTTTCGTTAGCCAGACTCGACAGCCCAGACTACATCATGACTCATGCTAAGATGCTCATATGACGTCCTGAGGTCATCTACCTCACGACATCAAATCCCTCCCATCCCCACCTCTGGCCTGGCAACTGGCAACCAGACACACCACCTGGATGTCCTGCCTACACACTGTGTCCACAACAGGGCCCGGGCTCACTTTGAAGCCAAAGAGATATGGGATGGAAGCAACATTAATCTACCACTTACTAGTGGTCTGACCTGTCCACGCTGCTAGGAGAGGTCTCATCGGTAGGCTAGGGGTCAAACGCACCTGTGCCCCTCAGGATGTTGGGAAACTGGCCTCACTGTGGCTCCTGCTCACCTGGACACCAGCCACAACTCGATGCACATCAGAACTGCCTGTGACTCTCGTCACCCCTAGCCACTGTCCTGCCTGGCTTCTAGGTCCATGCCAGGACGGACCCTCACTAGAAGGCCCTCTTTGTCCACTCTCCTGGTGCTTCTTGACGTGGTGCCCTGGGTTGACCTCACACTGTGTGACAGTCAGCCATGCTCTGTACTAATCCTTCCCAGGGTCAACTCACTAGTAAGACTTGCAGGGCCCAGCATGCTGCCCGGTACACAGTGCTTGCTCAGAAAACACCTAATGAATAAATTCACCTTAAAGTCATGCATTTCACAAAGTACACTCTCCATCAAAAACAGACGCTCTTAACCCACCACAGAACTACCTAATACTTCCAGCCACCCTATGAAATACACTGACTAAACCCAGGGCCCAATGAACCCCCAGATAAGAGGCTACGAATGACCTTGGCAAGAAAACCTGTGACTGTCAATCAGGAGTTCAACTGTGTCCCCCCAAGTGTATGACAACTTGGTTGGATCATGATTCTATGGTTTGTAGCTACATGATGACCTCCCATGATGTGACAAGTCAATCAACTGTCGAGGCTGAAGGGTGGAACACCCTTACTCCCACCCACAGCCCTGACCCAGATTACCAGGGGAGTCTCCCTGGGGTGTGGCCTGCAACATCATTTGTCTTACAAGAGACGAAAGGAGCGAAAAGCAAGCAGAGCTCAGAGGGGCCGAGAATGGAATTCTGGCCTTTGGACCCAGGGTCACCGCACTGAGAACCTCCTAGACCCAGGGGAAGACTGCTGCCATGAAACATGGGGGTCTGTACAGAACACCAAGCTTACAGATGCTAAAGAGACAAGGCCCTTCTCCCAGAACCCACAGAGAGACAGCATTTCCCTAGAGCCGGCTGAACTCAGACTTCCAGCCTCCTAAACCGAGACAGAACAAATGTTTGCTAAGCCATCCACTCGTGGTCTTTCTGTTATAGCAGAACTAGAGGACTGAGGCACAATCGGAACAATAAAAGTAACAGCTAAGTTTCTCAGCACTTAAAATGGACCAAGGACAGCTAAACGTATTGCAGGCATGAGCTTATTCAATTCCCACAACAACTCAACCAAGTAAAGACTCTGCTTATCTCCAGTTCACAGATGAGCAACCCGGGGGCTAACGAGGCTGAGACGCTCCCCCTCACTCACCCTGCTAGTCGGCCGGAACCAGAGATCGGCTCAGTGCAGTTGCTCCTGCCAAGAACCCGCACATTAAAAGTCCACCCTGCCGATGCCAACTGTCCTTTCTATTCTAGTGAAACAACTTCACGAAATGTTGTGTACAGCATTCAAACACTAGTTTGAAACATTCAGGCTCAATAAAAATGAGTTACTAAAATACAGTTGTCAAATTAAGTGTGTGTGCAAGTAGAAATACTACAAACACACTGTGGAACTCCATGCGGATTCTACAGTAACACTGCTTAGCACAAGTCTTCTCACACACCCCTAAGACTCGGAACCTGGACATCCAGAACAAGGCCGTAGAGCTGTGGTCTCTAAGTGAAAAAGGCTATGCCGATGCCAACTCCAAGGATCTGCATGTCAAGACCAGGCCTAAGCTAAGAACACAAGCTATGAATATGCATCGCTAGGTTGCCACCTTATATAAGAACCCCGGCTGTGACGACTATTACAGAGACACCTCATTCTGCTCCTTGCCACGTAGGGAGCAAGGCAGGCTGGATTAGAGGCCCAGTTATCAAGAGGTCTTTCACCGGCTTCCAAGAGAGGTTGCCTGCCGGACTTGGTGCTCAACGAAAGGGAACAAACCCAGCAGTCTGTTCCACATCCCTTCTCTACCCCCTAGTACACACACACACACACACACACACACACACACACAATCTTCCATGTGTGAGCTCAAAGAAACAGGCCATCAAGGACTCCCTGAAGATGCCCTTGGCAAGAGAAGTGCCTCACTAGTTAGTTCTGGGAAGACAAAGCAGCACCCACAACAGGGTGTGAATGAGTCCTTAACACCCAGCGCACTGAACACTCAGCAGCTGGGTGGGAAGCAGTGCTCTCAACCAGTACTCAGGGAGACCAGGGAACATTTGGGCAGTAAGTGATAAGGTTTAATTTTTTGTTGTTAAGTGTCATGGAGTCTGTTCCGACTCATAGCGTCCCTGTACAGTGTTTCCAAGGAGTGGCTGCTGGGTTTGAACTGCCAACTTTGCAGTTAGCAGTCCAGCGTTTATCTTACAACACCATACCAGGGCTCCAGCTTTTAAATTACTGTTGTTGTTAAGCGTCGTCGAGTCGATTCCAACGCATAGCGACGCTGTATAGGGTTTCCAAGGAGTAACTGGTGAGTTTGCAGTGCCGACCTTGCAATTCAAACCAACCTTGCGGTCCAGTGCTTATCCCACAGCGCCACACCAAGACTTCAAGTTTAAATGTGGGAATGGTAAAACTGTCTGTTATTGCTGGTGCTCTATTCATAGTGGCCCCGTGTTACCGAAAAGAAATGCTCCCACACGTTTCCTAGACGGTCGTCCTTAAAGGGTTAGATCACCAGGCCTTTCTCACACAGAACTCAGTAAGTCTGAACCATCAACTTTTCAGTTAGCAGCTCAGCACTTAACCGATGCATCACCAGGGCTCCTTAATATGTATGTGTCTACATGCTTACTTTCCTTTGAAATTCCAACCACAATTTTGTCTTCATGAATTCTTTGAGGCTAGTAATTAGAGCTTATTAAAAATTTACACTGTGTAATAGCCGCTCAGAGAATTTTAATAAAGAACTGTACATTAGTCGAAAGGATACATGTGGCACAATCAAATACACCGCTTCTCTGCATGAGCCCTGCCTGGAGGAAGCGCTCCTGCTCAGCACAGTCAGACCCCGCGGCCACAGGCCCATGTGGGGGCTACTCTTGCGGTATCTAAGGCTCAGGAGGAATCGGGCATCTACACCCCCGAGATCTCTAGAGACCCCGCTGATTCAGTCCAGAGCAGAGTGGACATGAAAACAGAACTGTTTAAAGCAGCGAGCCCTAAATTTGGGAACTGAAAGTGCTTCAGTACAAACAAACCTTTGCATCCAAAAGATCCTGTGGACATTTGGGGGGGTTACACATGGCTGCCTTAAAGAGGCAGAGCACACCTAGACACTCTTCAAGGAGCTCTACTGACCACAGAGCCAAGCAACTTAGCAATTAATGCCATGCAGGAATATTTGAGACTATTAATGAGTCAAAATAGCATTGCCTAGAATATATAAACCAACTGTGGTACATACACACAATGGAATATTATGCTACTTTGAAGAATAACAAGGAAGCTGCAAGCCATCGCATAACATGGATGAACCTTGAGGACAATATACTGAGTGAAATTAGTCAGTCGCAAAAGGACAAATACTGCATAGGACCACTACTGTAAAAGCTTAAGAAAAAGACCCCAAACTAAAAGGAGGGGAAAAAAGTACTTAGTAAAATCTCCTACTTCTTTTCCCCATCTGCCCAGTAAAAATCCTCAATTTATCCCCAAAGCTACAAAACACTGGTAGCTTTTCTATCCTTTTTACAGCATGTTATGTACACTTTGTCTTCTTCATTTAATAAAATATCTTTGGGAAAAACAAACAAACAAACAACCAAAAAGCAACATTTCCTACGCACTGCAGGATAATGCACTGGACCTAAAGGTCAGTTTGAGCTGCAAATTCGGCAGTTCAAACCCACCAACCGTTCCTCAGGAACCCTAAACAGGGTTGCCATGAGTCAGAACTAACTCGATGTCTAACAATAACAACAACAATGCTAACTCTACAACAAGCTATTCACCTTAAAATGCTGGATCCTAACTAGCCTTTGCTGGCTCCGTCCTGTAAGCGTGGGCTGTGCAGCGGCTGCAGATATCTTTTCTGCAACAGCCGTACATCCCCGAGGCTCTGCTAAGGAAGAGGCCAGGTTAGGGAACATGTCCCCAGTCACATGGGAGAGACTGGCGAGGCAGGCTCTAGCGGACGTCTCAATTTCCTTTGCAAACAAACTCTGTCCACCTCCCTTCCAGGCTTCAGACACACCGGCCTCCTTCATCTGCATGTTTCTGTCCAGGCTGCTCCCTCTGCCTGGGACCCGCTCACCTTTGCAAGCCCACTCCCATCTCCCTTGAGGGCTCCCTGCCTCTCTAGAGAAGGCCAACCTCCCAGGAGCTGTGGCCTCATCCTCCCTGACTTAGCTCACAATGGTGTGGGCTGGGGGTCTGTCTCCCAGCCACGCTGCAAGTTCCATGAAGTGCCAGCATTGCACCTGTTGCTGTTGTTGTTAAAGTGCTGGTGAGTCAATTCTGACCCATAGCAACCCAATACAGGCTTTCCAAACAGCAGCTGGTGGGTTTGAACCACTGACCCTGTGGGTAGCAGTTCAGTGCTGATCCTACAGCACCACACCAGGGCAAGTCAGAGGTGTGCAATGAAAAAGCAGTGAGATGGAAGAAGACACCCCCTCCGCCCCGAAGAACTAAAGTGGATAAAAACGATGATCCGAAAAAGGAACTGAACCCTTATTACCTGGCCCCCACCCTTTACGGGCCCCCGAGGGTACCCATGTGCTCAAAGAGAAGACAAAATAGATAGCTGGAACCTCCTAAAAACTAAAGACTATGTGCATCAAAGGACATTGTGAAATGAGTAAAAAGGGAACCCACAGACTAGGAAAATGGTTTTGGTAATGACATATAAGACGAAGGACTACTCTCTAAAATGTATAGAAAACTTCAACAAGAAGAAGACAAATAATCCAATTAAAAAATTGGCAGAGGATATGAACAGGTACTTCACCAAAGAAGGCATTCAGGCAGCTAGCAAACATGAAGACATGCTCAAGGACAGTAGTCTTAGAGAGCTGCAAATCAGAACAGCAATGGGATCGTATCTAACCCCAACATTCAGAGCAAAAGTTCAAAACAGCAGAAAATAATAAATTCTGACAAAGGTGTGGAGAATATGGGACCCTCCTACACTGTTCGTGGGACTATAAAATGATGCGACCACTGTGAGAAAGTTGGAAAAAATAATATCGTATGGCCCAGCAATCCCTCTACTTGGTATATATCCTCAAGAAACAAGAGCCATGACATGAGCACACCCATGTTCATTGTAGCACGATTCAGAAAGGCAAAAGAGGTAAAGACAGCCTAGATGCCCTTCACCAGAAGAATCAACAAACTCTGGTACATCCAGACAACGAACACTGAAGAATAACAATGTATCTGCAAAACACCTCACCACATAGGTGAACCTGGACAATATTCCGCTGAGTAAAATCAATCAATCACAAAAGGACAAGTATATGAGACCACTGCTGTGAAAAATTAAGAAAAGGTTTTCTTGATAATAGAAGCATACTATTATTATTACCAAGGATGGGGGGAAGGAAAATTGTTCACAGGCTAGAGGGTAGACACATGTTAACATGGGTGATGGGGCAGACAATATACAAGAGAGAGGTTGGCAAAGGCCACGGGAGTTCAAGTGAATAGAGGCAAATACTGTTAACTGAGGCTACGTGGCGGGGATTGCAGTCATTGTAAGGAAACGAAGCATCTGATCTGTTAGCTGTGAAACTGATGATCTGTTCTGTAAACCTTCATGCAATTCACAATAAAAAGTTTAAAATTACAAACCAAAAGAGCATGTACCATGCGAGGATATACTGAGGAACTAAACTATGAGTCGGAACCGACTCCACGGTACTTAATAACAACAACAACAAACTTCATCAAAATTAAGAATCTTTGTTCTTCACTGTTAAGAAAATGGAATGCCAAGCTACAGACTTGGAAGAAAATATTTGTAAGCCATCTATCTGACTGATACCCAGAACATATAAAAGAACTCTCTGAAAGCAACAAAAGAAGGTACGTTGACTTAAAAGACAGATAACATATTTTAATAGACATTTCACCAAAGAAGATATAGAAATGACAGCTAAACATGGGCAAGATGGTCAGCATTAGTTATAGTTAGGGAAATGTCTACTAAAACCACAATGAGATAACAATATATATCCACTAGAATGGCTAAAATTAAAAAAAAAAAAATCAGAAGGGAAGTAATTGTTGAAGAGACTGTACAGATATTGAGGCCCTCAAACATTGCTGATGGGAATGTCCAATGAAGTAGCCACTCAGAGAGCTTGGCAGTATCTTAAACAGTTAAACATATAGATACTTAACCACATGACCCAGAAACATATGCTTACACAAAGATCTGTACTTGTATGTTCATAGCCACTTTCTTCGTAATAACCAAAGGCAGAAATAAGTGCAGGGGAAGATAGAACCTCCACTGAATAGTGTTCTCGTCTAGACAGGTCTGGTGAAAAGAGATGGGGGTAAGATTCTTATGATTCAACAGTGAGTAATTGTTATCATGACTAATCGCAACTGTCACAATTGTAAAGGTAGAAGTTCTGTAATAAAAAGGGGAGGGTAGTTAATCTTACAGTCCAGAAACAGAGGACCCTAGGACCATCAAGGGAGAAGAACAGAAGCGATATGTGGGGCCCTATCCAGAGAAGCAGCGACACCAGAGATGGAGGCAAAGTTGGGGACATGGAGAGAGGGAGCAGCTGAGGACTCTGGACTCATGGAAAGAAAGGGACTGAGAGCTGGCGGCCAGGATGCAGGCTTACAGAATGTGCCTTTTGGTTGTTTAAATGATTATATATTCCTGAGCGTTTCTGTGTACACACCACCCCAACACACACACACACACACACACAAAGAGGGAATGGAAGCAAATACTGTTGAATGATGATGCACAGAGGAAATTGAAATCTCTGCAATGAAATGATGGTATAAAGCCAATGTTCTTCCTGTAAACTATCACTCAGTTCACAATAAAAAAATTTTTTAAAAAGCTGAAAATAACAATAATAACATCGAGAGCCTAATGGATACATAGGTTATTGTTAAATTCTATGCAAAGGAATACTTTTCAATGATAAATGGGAGTGAACAACTCAAAGACTCCAAGAAGAAACTCGTTTACAGGACAAATAAGTCTACATGAACTACAGTCTTATCTTCTCTGAGACCCAGAAGAACTAGATGGTGCCCGGTGATTACTGCCAGTCATTCTAATTAAGGACACAGAGAAGGCCCCTGATAAAATGGGAGAAAAACGTAAAACAGAATATCAAGCTGCTGAAAAAATTGAAAATTAAATTAAAAACAAACCAACAGACCTACTGGATTGGTTGAGCTTGGCAGACTCCTCAAGAGTGCTGTCCTGGGATCTTCCTCAGACCCCACGCCAAAGCCAACCTCTGGAGGTCACCAGAAAGCCAAACGTTTTGTCAGACCCCCGCCTCCCAAGGTCACTTTGTGAAACTGGCTCCCACAATAACGAAAATCACTCATAAGTACTGCACTCCTTTGAGAAGCCACCTCTATAAGAAACTGTCAATACTGACTTTCAAACAAAGGCAAGAACAGAGGGGGGGGAGGGGGGCAGAAGAATGGAAAATAACACCAGAAGAGAAATAAAGAGAATGTTCCCGAACTGTGAAGACTATGCCGCCTGTCACTGAACATCTGTGCAGAAATTGCTGAATGGGGACCTAAACTGCTTTGTAAACCTTCAAAGAAAGCACAGTATTACTTTAAAAAGGAGGAAACCACTAATACCATCTATGCAACAGTTTAGATGAACCTTAAAGCACTGTGCTGAGTGAAAGAAGCCGCACAGACAGGACTTCCCACTATATGGTTCTGACTAAACGAAATACTAAGAAAAGACAAAAATAGAGTAATACAAAGGAAGTCAGTGGTTGTCTGGGGTCAGAGGTCAGGAAAGGCAAAATGGTAAAGGGACAAAGGGATGCTTATGGTGCGGAAAGCATGTGATGTGTGGATTGTGGTTGTATGGTTGTGGCTACACAACCCTTCTGTGTTTGTTAAAACTCATCTAATTGTTTAATTAAAATTGGTGGCTTTTTATTGTATGTAAATGACACTCTGTAAAGGTAAGTTAACACCCTCCTAGCTCCATTTTCAGCCAAGCAGAGATACGTTCATAGGGGGAAACCACTAGTCAGGTACACTCACCATGAAATGGTCAATCCTTCAAAAGCGAAAGGGCAACATTTTCCAAAGGGCAAGTTTAGAAAGGATGGGAAGGTGGGTGGAATGCAAACAGGAACCCCAGGGAGGAGTAGGAGCACTGTTTTTGCATGAAGGGGATTGCAGTCATTGGGATGAAACAAAGTGTATGGTTTGTTGATGATCTTGTCTGTAAACTTTCACTGGCTTCACAATAAAACAGTTAAATTAAAAAAAAACAGGAAAAGAAACAAAGGTGAACAGAAAACAAAATCTGTCCAGTCTCCTGTTGGTCACAAGCGTGGTCTCAGGGAGGCTGCATTGACTGTCCTAAGTCCTTGTCAAGTTGCTGACATGGATGGGGGGGAGATAACTCTTCAAAGTCTCCAGCTCCCTTTGCTGTGATTCGCTATTTATGAAGTGACCTTGTGATCTTGACATTCTCCTTGAGAATCCCAATTAAGATCCAGAGAATAAACAGTACTCAGAAAACGAGACCTCAGGGAGTCATAGTCATCAGGGATACTTTCATTTCATTGGAAAGGTTTGCACGATCCTAACTTAAAATTGCCTGTTTCTATTTGTTGACAAGGTCCTACTTGCTCCTGAATGCAAGGAGACCTGGTGGCGCTGCGGGTTAGGCTTGGGTTACTAAGTACAAGGTCAGCAGTTCAAATCCACTAGCCACTCCATGGACGAATGATGAGGCTGTCTGCCAAGACTGTAAATAAAGGGTCAGAATTGACTCGATGGCTATGGGTGGGTTTGGGCTGTTCAAGAGGCACTGTCAAGTTCTTACTCCTCTTCCTTCTAAACTTCAAATGGGGAAGCGACTGGTCACTGATTATCTTGGTTAATATCCACCTCCCTCTGGTAGCGTAGTGGTTACGAATCGGGCTGCGAACCTTAAGGTCAGCGGTTCGAAACTACCAGCCGCTCCGCGGGAGAAAGATGAGGCTTTCTACTCCCGTAAAGATTTATACCCTTGGAAACCCTG